CTTTTTGCTTATGTGGTGCTGAGGAATCGAACCCAGGGCCTCATGCATGCAAGGCAAGCGCTCTACCACTGAGCCACCTTCCCAGCCCCATTGGCTTAACTTTTTGAAACAGGTTTTGTACCTGGTGCTGGTGGCTCATGCATATCATCCTAGCTAATCAGGAGGCTGAGATCTGAGGATTGAGGTTCGAAGCCAATAACTGGGCAAGAAAGGCTGTGAGATTCTGATCTTAAGCATAACAGTTCAAGGAAAATACCCAGGCCCAGAGTTCCAGCCTCAGGACTTGCGCGCACATGTGCACGCACGCGCGCACACATGCACACACATTTTTGTATCTATCTTCCTTTGGATTGCTATGCCTTTTGTGTTTCCACCGCTCCCTGGGTAGAGAGGAGGACAGGCATCGATGTTGGCATGAGTCAGGCCTACCCCAGGTCCCCGAGCCCTTGCTGCGGTCCCCTTTTCCTTACCCAGGGATGACTCTGACTCAGAGGACGACTGATTGACACTGAAGGTCATGTCGGAATCGCTATCGTCCTGGGAGCCGCTGAGGGATCCGGATGGAGTCGTGGTAGCGGGACTGGACTGCAGCGTACCTGAGACACAAGGAGCCTCCGTGAGGGGCAGCAAGAAACTGGCTTGGGTGCCATTTTGCACCTCAGTTTCCCCATCTGTCCAGTGAGAGGACAGGAGTCACCTCCCGGGGTTCTGTGGAGGTCCAAGGAGCCCGTACAAGTCTTTGTTTCTGCATCTGGTCTCCACCCCAGTGAGAACTTCCACACCTTAACACCCCTGCAGTGGTCCAAGGAAGAGCCTGAATCTAAGGAAGCCCATTGAGGTCAATTCTATAATGTCCAGTAGCACTATCGGGACCCATTCCCCTGGGAGGTGGGAGCCGCCCCAGTGGGTGGCCTGCCGGCCTACCTGAGCGTGCAGCAAACACAGGGCTAACTTGAGTGTGGAGACTGAGAGCTAGGCGTCTCATGCTGTCAACACCTAGATCCAGCTGTTCCTGAATCCCTTCAATACACTTCCAGACTTCTGAAGTTCTAGTTGCTTAGGACACTGGGTATCTCCTCCTCCTCCTTTTTTCTTTTTTTGGGCATAACTCCCTGATCCCAGACTGCTAGTGTAGTCCATATTGAAGGAGTTTTCTTTCTCAAGCTCTTGTGATGAGTTCAGGCCCTAACAGCTTCTTGCTTAGCATGAAGACAGCTGCACCTCTTTTAGGTTACCGAGGAAGGATGGTGGTCAGAGAATGGGGTGCAGGGTGGCTCTGAGATTCAGGATCAAATGAACAGCTTTCTGGTCTTCAAAAGCAAGGATTTTCCTTCTTTTTCTTTCTGACCATTTGAATCTCTTTCTCTTACTTCAGGGAGTGCAGGGGTGGGGTGGGGTGAGGAAAGGTTACAGACTTAGTTTCTGCAGAGCTGAGATTGTGGCTGTGCTTGATCGTTCTCCAGACACCCCAAACCAATATCTAAGAAGAGCCCAGCAGATAACCACCCCTGACATGCTGTTCCTCCTCAGCCTGTGTCAGAGGCCCAGTGGAGAAACTGAGGCTCAGGAGGGTCTGGGATTTGTGTCACATCCCCATCGCTAACCAGCTATGGATGTGATTCTGGACTGTCACATAATCAGATTTTTAACTGTCTGTGGATAGGAAGAATGACATCAATCTCCTTGGGAGCATATAGGGAGAGGAGACAATGCATGAAGTGTTGGCCATTTTTGCTAATTGCTGGGCCTTGTCTTGGGGACCCTGACAGGAGATCTGTGCTCTCTGGGGTGACTCAAGCCCCAGAGCTGGAGGAGAAGGTCGGCCCTACCCGGCATCTATGAATTCCTTCCTTAGAAAGGTGAGGGCCCTATTCTTGGTATTAAGAGCCAAGCGGAGAGTCCTATCAAAATGGGATGGCTCAAGGCTCCACGATGATATTTCGCTTCTCTTTTGCATCTACCATTGAATTTACATCCTACACTTGATATTATGCATTGCATCTGAATACAGCAAACTATAACAAGAGGAGTAATCGTGGCGTTCTCCGCCACCCCCTCCCATTTACAGACAGCCTTTCTAGGTTGGTGGTTTACTAAGCGTGGCATTACGAAGCGCCAGTATCTTGGGGCACCCGGGGTGAGTGACAGGTGCTGGAGGCTGAGACCCTCAGGCCTGGGGGACAGACTTGAATAGAGGCAGGGTCTGGAATGGAGACGTGTGCAGAGGGGCGGAGGTGGGGGCTGGATGGGGGCGGTACCAGGATGAGGAGGGGTGGAGTCTTCGGCGGGGCGGGGCCAGACAGGGGCGGGGCCTGTAGAGGGCCAATGATGGGGTGTGTAGGGAACTGGGAGGGGCAGGACCAGGGTTGAATCTATAGGACGGCCTGATGTGGGCGGGGCCTGGGGTGGAGAGGGAGGGGCAGGGTCGTCTATGGGGTGTACGGGGGCGGGGTCTGTGGCAGGGCGGGGTTACACCGGGTGTGGCTTCTGCAGGGGTGTGGGGGGCCTACAGTGAGATGAAGTCTAGCCTGTGGTGGGGCACGAGGAGGGGCGGGGCATGGTCGGGAGAGGGGCGTGGCCTAGTGTGAGATGAGGCCTGGGTGGCAGGGGGGAAAAGGGGCGGGACCTAGAGTAAGAGGTCTGGTGTGGGGCGGGGCATGGTGGGGCGAGGGGCGTGGCCTAGTGTGATGATCCCTGGGTGGCATGGGGAGGAAAGGGGCGTGGCCTCGAGTAAGAGGAGGCCTGGCATGGGGCAGGGCATGGTAGGGAGAGGGGCGTGGCCTAGAGTCAGATAAGGGCTGGTGTGGGGCGGGGCATGGTGGGGAGAGGGGCGTGGCCTAGTGTGAGATGATCCCTGGGTGGCATGGGGAGGAATGGGGCGTGGCCTAGAGTAAGAGAAGCCTGGTACGGGGCGGGGCCTAGAGTAGAAAAGGGGCGGGGCCTAGAGTAAGAGGAGGCCTTGCATGGGGCGGGGCATGGAGAGGTAAAGGGGCGGGCCTAGAGTAAGAGCTCTGGTATGGGGCGGGGCATGGTGAGGAGAGGAGCGTGGCCTAGTGAGATGAGGCCTGGGTGGCATGGGGAAGAAAGGGGCGTGGCCTAGAGTAAGAGGAGGCCTGGCACAGGGCGGGGCATGGAGTAGAAAAGGAGCGGGGCCTAGAGTCAGATAAGGGCTGGTGTGGGGCGGGGCATGGTGGGGAGAGGGGCGTGGCCTAGAGTCATAAGGGCTGGTGTGGGGCGGGGCATGGTGTGGAGAGGGGCGTGGCCTAGAGTCATAAGGGCTGGTGTGGGGCGGGGCATGGTGTGGAGAGGGGCGTGGCCTAGAGTCATAAGGGCTGGTGTGGGG